ACACACACACACACACACACACACACACACACACACACACACACACATACTACATACTACAGAGCACTGCTTATTCATTTTGCCTTGAGGGCCTCGGCCCACCTCTTCAGCTTGATCGCTGATTCAACATCACTGTATACGACGGCATACATTCTGCCATTGGCAGAAGAATGATTTTAAAGTGTTTAGAGATGTGCACAACAAACAAGATTGGGGACCCACTCAAAAAAACAGGCAGTGACAGGTAGTGGTAAAAAAACTCAAGAGGCTATCTTTAAGAAACTTCGATAACATCCAGCCTGGGCTTCCTTGTGGCCGAGAGATTTGTCATGCTGATGCATGTAATTGAGAATTCCCTGATTTGAGTTGCCTGTAATCCCTAAATCTTAAAGATTTAGGAGTAGTAGTAGTAATATAAAGAGTGACAAAGTATGTTTGGGGACTAGGTTGTGGATGAATAACTCATACTGAGGACTTTACACTCTGAGACCTGTTAGAAGCCTATTTTTTACATTTGATTGATTTATTATTTTCTGTTTTTCGTCGCATTGTTGGCTCTGACACCTGGGTCCTATAATAGCATCTGTTGAAAAAGAAAAAACATGCTGGTGTGGTCTCATTGGAAGGCACATTTTAAGCTTTTCGCTTGTCAATTAACGACCCGTTCTCATTATCAACTCGTTGCATACGCACGTCACAATTTTAACGTTGTTAAGCAAAAGATCATAGTTTGGGTTAAAGTAAGTTGCGTACGTAGTCGATGTAAAGAAGTTTAGTTAGCAGGGAGACATTTACAGAGAATGTCTTCCTGTGTTTGTTATAAGCTGCTGATTAGGATTCATATGACATATTATTCAGTGTGAATAAAATTATGCCAGATTATAATAGTGGATCCTCCACTTTATACTGTCGGTTTGTGTTTAGGAGTTTTCAGCCATGTGGGCTGTTTTTAATCGTCAAAGAGTGATATCTCAAACTGCCATGAAGAGCATTCATACAATGAAGATTTGCAAAGCAGCCGTGGAGAAGGAAACAATATGATGATCTCATCATTTTGAAGCTTCTTTCGTACATGTATGCCCATTTTTTTAAATTGAACATCTACCAGTGATTTAAGTCTTCCCCAAACTGTGCAATCAGATTATCCACTGAGGCTCTGTCTGTAATTGGATGCAGATGTTTGCTATGGGTTTCAGTTTAGTAGGTCTACCCCCGTCTCTTATTCATCTTTGGGATTTATGCAGCTTTGAAGAAGCAGGTATCGTTCAGAAACAAACTCATTATAGAGAAGTGCTGCAGGCAGTTCGGTTTGATTGAGTGGTCGGACTTGAGTCATCTTTAAGGACCATCTTTTAAGTCTGCTGGCTTCCAGGGCTTGTTAACATATGGAGATTTGGTTCTCTTATAGCATTAAGATGATGAATGACAATCTCACTGCATTCAATGTGCTAAAAATGGCAGTTAATGCTCCAGGGTAATAGTGTGAAAGCCATTCTGTTTTCTCTTTTTCTCTTCCTTTTTGTTCCAGATCCAGATTTTTTTCGCTCCTCTAAAAACTAAATTGATAAAAACACCATACTTTAACCCCACTAGTTAGTTGTAAGTTGTAAGCAATACATAAACCTTTAATACATTATTTATAACTCACTATAACCTCATTGTACGCAGGTATATATCTGCTCCTGTGGGCACCCTTAACTTATGTAGGGAATTAATTACTACATAGGAATACACAGTTGTAATAATATAAAATATATCTTCATAGGAAAGGTTTTATAGTAATTATGGACACTTAAAATATCCTTATGTGTTTATAATTTGTTCAAAAGTGACAACAGGTGAAGTAGCTTGTAGGATCAAATAGGACACACCACCCGTTTGGTCTGTCTACATTTTGAGGGGATGAAAACAACGAGGAAGGCGGTTTTAAAGTCGTGAGGAAAGCACAAAGACAAAAGTAATCATAATCTATTTCCCATCTGTTCCATTTTATACAGTTACAACAGAAGATCTTTTATTGATGTTTGAGATAAGACTTAATTAATCTAGGGGGGTTTACTGCAAATTAGACTGACCTACAACTTCAGATAAAATGAGTTTTCAGTGCCATCCCCCATGTGTAATAATCTGAAGTGTGAATTATGAAACGGTTGGTTTGGCTGTAGCTGAAATGAGCGACAGAAGGGAGAAAAGATTAAAAGGAAACTTCAGTTTGTCATTAGCAACATGGTGACGTGGCGTGACAGTCACTCCAGTCATCCGTCAGTGCTGCTGCCTTTTTGAAGCTTGCACTGATGAGAAGAGCTGTGCCTATATGTGCGCTAATGTGGAAAATACGGGTGTTTGTGATAAACAACCACTGATCAAAAAAATGAAAAGCCCCAAGTAGAGCCACTGCTATGACATTTACATTTGAAGTTAAAAAAAAACAAGTTATTACGTAACAGCTTTTTCACATAATTTGGCTAAACCGTGCTTAACAAGCGCAGCAAAGAAACTCTAAATAAATCGTGCAACACCGGGCTTAAGCTAAATAAAGGTGTCAGTATGCTTCAAACGACCCATCTTGTTCTCCCATCCCATCGTTGCAGTTATCAAGTCTCTCTCTCTCTCTCTCTCTCTCTCTCTCTCTCTCTCTCTCTCTCTCTCTCATGCCTCTCAATGACAACAGGAGTTTTTGTTAGTGTAGTCGTTAGCTATAAGCACTTTTGCCTTCAGACGTGTTTGGAGACGTGGACACACGTCTGTGCTTTATTGCACAACAGACAAATCAATTCATCAGTAGTCATGTCAAAAGTCTGTTTCTGCTCTATATTGTGCATTTTTAGCAAACTGTAGAGTTGTTGTGCTCAGGGACTCTCTTGTTCATTTGTGCATTCTGGACAAAAACAGTTTCCATTTAGAAAACTGTCAGTAGTTCATGCTGGAGGGAGTTTGATGATTCGATTGGTCATCATTGAAATCTGACAACTCCACCTCCTGCTGGTAACAATACGTTCATCCTGTTGTTGTCCAGATTGTGATTTCATTTGTTTCTCTGGTCACCAAAATAGCAAATCTTACTTGTCAGCACCCACACGTCCATTACCCAAATGAGTTTCATCTTCATGTCTCCACAGTACAGTGTGTATGTTTGAGGGTGTGGGCCTGGATGGAAAAGAGGACAGCGGACTGTAGAGGGACGTGAAGGACGCTGTGTAACAAGGAAGGATAACATCAGAACCGTTTAATTGCCAAAGTATGTTGCACATACAAGGGACTTGACTCGGTGGAAGGTGCATAACATTAAACAATCAACACAGTGCAAAATACAAGACATGATTTAAAAATAGAAACATGTTGAAATTTACAATAAAATATGGTAAACAAATAAGAGTATATTAAAAACAAGTATAATATTAAATAAGATGTGCTGCTGTGGACTGAAGCTGATGAATTGTTTGTCCCTGTTGGGAATGACATTTGGAGTCATTTCATTTGTGTGTCAATATTGATTCTGTCTCTGGGAAAGTGTCTGGTTTATGTGAGCGGGTGAGTTAAGTCCACTAATCTCTTTTCTCCTCTTTACTTTTCTTCTCTTGTCTCCTGTCCTCTTCTTTCCTCAGAAACGAAGGCTGAGCTGGAGGATCTTATGGCAGACATCAAGAAGTTTGCCAACAAAATACGCTCCAAATTAAAGAGTGAGTATAATCATTCTATTTTCTCCTGCTAGAGCAGCAACTAATGATTATGTTCTGTGCCAGTGAGACCCTTTTGCGTTTTTGTGTTCAAATAATTACATGTTTAGTACACAAAATTTCAAATGTTGTCAAATTGCCACGAGTTTCAAGAACTGATGAGCAGCCAAAAATATGAAAATATTCTTTGCGTTTGAAGTTGCAACTATAGCAAATATTTGCTAATTTCACATAATTGATTGTTGTACAATTAGTCATTTTGTGCTCTTTCAGTTCCAGCTTTAACCAATAACAATACGTCATCATTTCTTTATTTCCATAACCAGTGTGTGCAGCAGTTTGTCTTTTATGTGATGTGACAGCCAGGGTGCTTCCTCAGGAGAAGGGAGAGGGTAACAAGTGAGACATGAAGAGACAGAGACCTGTATAGAATTTGGCAGCTAACAGATAAACTCAGTTTGCACTCCTAGGGTCTGTGCTGCAGTGAGCAAAGTCATTAGTGTCACTCACAACAGAGGAGGTGCCTGCGATTCATTTGCATGAGCACATACAAGTTTTATTCACACGTGTGCACACAAACTGACTAATATAACAGAAACATACTGTAGCGAATTTCCCCTGGTGGCAGCTTTTTCATGTCTCTCCTGCTCCTTTTTCACAGACACACACACACACACACACACACACTCACACACAGTGTCATGTGCACATATATGGACACTGATGCACACAAGTGCTATCAGGCACAACCGGCTCTGCATCACAAGCCTCTAACGGTGTCTCTCCAGTCCAAGTCAGTTGTTGACACAGGATACCTTTGTGTAAGTGCGTGTGCCTGCTGTGTGTTTGTTTGTGTGTTTGCGTTTATGTGTTGGGTTGGTCAGTACGTGACCTCATTTTTGTCGAACTGCATTCTGGGAAAGGTCATCAAGAAGGACTGACATCATTTGCTCTATCATTTGGTTCACAATAATGATTCCTAATCAATCTAATGGATTCAGTGAGTTCCTTTCTTTAAGGACAGAAGACAAGTGATTCCTACGGGGATCTTTGTAGATTTTGGAATATCTAAATTAATATTAAACAAACATTTTGGCCGAAACCCGTCTTAATTTAACCCTCTGAACTGCACAAACTTACATACACAAGTAATTGCTGAGTAAGTGTAAGTTTCAGACATGTGATCATCAGTTTAATCAAAACCCTAAAACAGCTACATATGGCTAGTTGTTTAGCTCCATTTGTGGGAAAATTTTCAGTCACCTGTTAAAAATTCAAGAATTTTTTATATATTTCACATATAATATATAAATGTATAGTACAGTACAGAGTACTGTGTATATAGAGCCTGCTTCGCCTTATGTTATGTTTAAGTAGCAGAATTTTCAGACATTACATGTATCACAAATTACCATATTCTTAAATTTGAAATTGCTTATTTTAACTGTATGAGTGAACGTGTTTACTCTGTTGGCTATAGCTGTAAAAACAGGGAGGCAATTAGTTTCTCTACGGTTGTCAAGGTGGACGATCTGTCTCTGTGCGTCCAACGCTTTCAGAGCAATATATCTTGACAGCTGCTGCTGACCAGAGTACCATGCAAACAAACATGGATTTTAATGATCTCCTGATCTTTCTTCTTACACCACCCTCAGGTCAAAATGTTTATGTATCCATTTGGCAGACGGCCATGAGGTTTTCTGAGCACATTTCTGCTCTCATGAATACAATCCTTTTTGATTTTCTGACCTCATCACCTTTCCTCTGGTGCAAGCGGGCTATCCTCAGATTCACACTTTCAGCCCCACTAACACTAAGTAGTGTCAGTACGTTGGTTTTTTCATCCAACACTTTTCTCTTGTGTAGTGTAGTGGAACTTCTAGAGGCAGTCAGCAACACTCTAGTCTTTATATTTGTTTTGTTTTGATGATTTTCAAGAGGAGCAATTGGATGTCGATTTTGTGTATCTTTCCAGGTATCCAGCAATCCATTGAGCAAGAAGAAAGCCAGAACAAGTCATCAGCTGACCTGAGGATACGCAAGACACAGGTATAGTTCAGTTAAACTTTACTAAGATAAACTGTTTTATAAAAATGTAATTCTTATATTTTACTTGCCACTACAACCTGCAGCTCCTCCATTTCTTCTGTGCAGAGCATTGTGGGCCAATTGTATCCATCAATTTTATTACTTTTTCAGTGTGAGCATACTCAAAACATACTCGGAGTTAGGTTGTATGGAATGTGGACACAGCTACACCGACAGTGATGTCAATGAATGCTTGCACCTGCTCACCTCCTGTTCATTTACAATTCCAATTACTTATTAAGTCTGTGTCTACTGCTGTTGTTCCTCGCTGTGTCTCTAGCACTCCACGCTGTCCCGTAAGTTTGTCGAGGTGATGTCAGAATACAACACCACCCAGTCGGACTACAGGGAGCGCTGCAAGGGACGCATTCAGAGACAGCTGGAGATCAGTGAGTAGACCCGGGAGACTAAACCTCCCACCACACTTCATGCTGACTGCACACACATTAACACTGTATAAATTACAGTAACACATCTGCATCTCTTCCCAGCCTTAGTGTTTGGTTGTTGTGTGCAGATTTCTAGTATTTTTTTTTTTGCATTATTTTACCAACTACATACCTTCCATAAAAGGGTAACTGGCCGATACTATTGGTAAGCTTTAGTAAGTGCTGTCCAAAACAGCTGTTTGTGATTTCTTTATTCATTTTTTGAAGGTGCTTGTCAAAATAGATTTTAGAAAAGTTGTTTCCCGGCATTTCAGTTATCCTCAGCCGTATCCACTTTCTCTTCATCCTCCCACTATTATTAGTTTGATATTAGTGTCATGTTAAGCTAAAAATATAGCCTGCACCCCCATCCTCTATCACTTCATGAAGTGTGAACTGAACTGTGACTCTACACCTGCACAGTATTATCGTCCCTTTTTACAAGAGCATTACTATGTCTACGTACTCGTATGAAAGTGTGACAATGTGAAGAAAAGATGTGCCAGTACTGCTATGTATCTGATATGTATGATTTCTGTATTCGCTTCTTATACTAGTCCATTTCAGAATTATAGACATGCCTGCAGCGTTGCATTGATTTCATTTTGACAAAATCTGTGAACTTCATGAGAAGTCCCATGATCGCTGAAGCAGGCCCTTCACTCATTTCAGCCTTTGCTTTGTGAATTCAGGCAGGAGAAAACTTTGTCAGCACAACATCCTGCTGGCATCAGCTTCCCATGCATTGTCTTGATTTACAGTGATGAGTCTTTTTGGCAAACAGTTTTTACTTTGTGTAATAGTTAAAGTAACTAGAAATGATTTGACACCCATCAACATTCACTCTACTGGGTTGACAGGCTTATAGAACCACATGGTTAATTATGCAAATATATTAAGTGCGTTATTTTTCTCCTGCATTTATGTTATTCACTGTTTGTCATTGATGAAAAAAAGAGGCTTTAACATGGGCGGTAAAAATAATTTACCGCCGTCGGCCCTAAGCTGACTTGCTCTGTTTATGCACTTCGACCCGATGGGAATTTTGTCTGGCACGCAGGTAAAACACAGAACATAGACTTGAACAAAAAAATAAAATAAATGCATCACACATGCAAATATGTTAAAACAAATGCTAAAAACCCTCCACACAAATTTACATAAAACAATGTACATCAGTGACAGCATAACATAAAACCTGGAGTACATCCAACCATTATCATCCCACTCAATCATCCATGGCAAAATAGAGAAATGTCCGTTTATCTAATTCATACAGTATTGTATTTTGAACGTGTCTGGTGTAGTAGCAAAACAACCACTCTCACACTACAAACACAAACATCACCAACACCTACACCCATATAGTACATGCACGTGCCAGGTTGCTCCATCTCCGATGTGAGCTCCTCACTCTGGTGTCACACTGTATGCTATATGATTTGACAGGTATGAGCTGCAGGCCCCGGGCTCCTGGACCAGACGATGCCACGGCATCCTGGCAGGCCGCACCTTGCCAGCTGCCCCCAACAGTCATCGTGATACAGTCACCCTGCACACAAATGCCCACACAAGCGAGCAGAGAAAAACACTATGACTCCTTTTGGGGTAATAGCAGAGGAGAGCAGGCGCAGTTATGCTGCAGGACACTTGGCACAGACGTAATTTCCTCTTGCCATCTGTCAGACACATGCAGCAGGTCTGTATGCATGAGCACCGCCCAATATACACGGCACGTGGCCCAATCAAATGAACAGCAGTAACCACACACACAGTACTTTCTGGGGTTAATCAAAGGTTAGACACATCCATCCTTGATGAATAAGAACACACACGCCTGACTCCCTTTTTCATAAAGCTCCTCCAGACTCATTTTGTTTTTATTTTTACAGCTGGTGGAGGCCGTAGCTGATGTCACCTGTCGTCAAGGAAGGGATTAGACATGCAGGGAGAGTACGGAGATGGCGTAAGAGCACAGAGGAGGGGGTAAATTATAAGTATGAGGCATAAAAAGGTTTTGTAGGAAACAAAATCGCAAGTCTCCAGTAAAGCTTTTCCCTTCGGAATACATCTGTCCTTATATTGATCTAACATCATTTAATTCCTTTAGGGTTATGTGAAAAGAGAGCTGTGTTTGTGTTGTGCCAACCCCTTTGACTTGTTTGCGTGTGAATCAATAAGAGTGTGTCACACACAGAGGGACATCTAGTCTGTTCTGTCAGACTGAATATCGACGTTTCCTCTGCTGCTTTACTCATTTCCAGTTTGCTTCTGGATAGAGAGATAAGAGAAACACAAAAGCAACACTATGACATACTGTAAACTTGTAATCATCAAGACGGTAGCATTTTATGCCCCTATTTGCACGGCCAACATTGCCACAGTAACCCCAAGTCCAAATATATTTGCAACAGCCCCCACCAAACTGCCTTTCTTTATATTTTGGGTTTCTTCTGTTTGAATTAAATGCTTGCACTTGTTCCCAGCAGCAAAATACACTATTTTCAGGATGCTGATACTTCTGTCACACCTTTGATTCATAGAGGCAAGTATCCTACTTCTGCAGAATATACACTGTATTATTTAACACTTTGGATAACTTTGACCCCTTCCTAATCTCATTAATAAACAGTGACTTATTTTTAAATAGTGTTCCCATAATGAGCTGCTGAGCTACAGAAAATAAACGCTTATTTGCTTTTTTGCCATGAGATTGATGAGAAGATTGATACCAATCTCGTGTTTGTTAGATAATTCTGAATCCAGCTTCATATGTAACCGACAAATGGAAGGGCTATAAATCGATCTTATTTAACTCTCTGCAAAAAACAAATAGGTGTAACAGTATTTTCCAAATTGTCTAACACATCTGTTTGGATAATTGTACATTGCCAATTACAGTTGAAACACATCTGTAGCCTTTTAGTTTATTATTGAATGTGAATATCACACATTTATTCACTTCCAAGCAGACAGGCCCAGCAGGATGGAGGGGATTTTGGTCATAGTCATCGCAGGGCCTCTTTGACATTTAATTATTCGATTTTATTTCCCCACGGACTATGCTTGAGCTGGGAGCGTGTCGGCAGGAAAAAGACACATGTACACTAACCCATTCCTCCTGTATAGCAAACAGATTGACCTATACATGTGCAGATAAGCGCCATGCTTTTCTTATTCCTTGCAAGTGAAATTGCAGCGAACAGAAGCATAAAAATCACTTGCCTCTTTTGCTCTGCCCGCATGAACATTTGCGTGGTTCGCCTTTTCACTTTCTTCCTTCGGGGATTCACTTCACCTGTGTTACATAACAACGGAAATGAAATAATACTGTTACTCGCAGCAACATAGTATGAATGATTTAATAGCCCAAATATGCTACGGGTGAAATGAGACTTCTTGGCTTCATGTTAGACTTCTCCGTGTTTGGGTCTCCATGGTAACAAATAAGAGCCTCCCTCGAAGCCTGTCAGGGCTTTAAAAAAAAAAAAAAAGGCGATGAGGAGTGTGTGTGCGTGTGTGTGTGTGTGTGTAGGAAGTGAGATAAATAGGATAGGGTAGCACCAGAGTGCCTTCGTTTTTTTCCTTCTTCACAATTATCCATGACTCATTGTCACTCGTCTCCGTCCTTTAACTCTGTCTGTGACCCTCTTTAATGTTGTAGTTTTAGCCTTAATGATAGAGATATTATTTATAATCAGAGAGGCCTAGAGAATAGGGAATATATCCCAGTGATGTGGTGAATGTGGTTTCTCACTCCTCTTTGTGTCCTCTCATTTGTCAAACTGCAAAATGTCATTGCTGAACATGAGTAGATTCTCAAACATGGTAATGAAACGGCAGGACCACCTTACCATAACTAAATGAAATGCATTGCTTTGATATGGACATGAAGTTTGGATTGGACACGATAGGTCCAGTTTATGCAAAAGTACATTCTGAACATGGACACACATTCATGCACCAGTAAAGGTTGGAGAGCAGCGTCATCAGTATTCTGTTCATGAACGCAATCATCGGCTCTGCCTTCCAACATCATCACTCACCATCAACCTTACCACTCTGCACTGAGGCCTTCATCACACATAAATACAATACATACACATGCTCGCACACACTCTGATTAGGTCATGAATAGAGGTTTTGTAGTTGCCTCCAAAAACCCCTTGGAGCCACAGCCGCTGGTGTTCCAGAGAGGAAAAAGCAGAGCGATATCTGACAAAGCCAGCTGTGTAGGTTAATCAATGAATTAATTAGACTGTATAGAGGTGGACGTAGACACTGTGACGTCACCAGTTGGTTTGTGGACTGCCATTTTGAAGTTTGAGTTCGGTGTTTTGGCCATCACCATCTTGGATCTTGACTGTCGCCATCTTGGCCTTTTGCAAGCAGTGGACGGAAGTTATCATATTTGGACTACGAAGGAGTGTCATAGCGAAGCCATTTACACTCTGGAAGCCATAGCCTGTCAATCACAGTAAGCCCGCCCTAAAGCGTACTTTATTGTCTATTCTACTCTAAACTGGACCATAATTTACAAAATGAACTTCATGCTGTATTGAAAAAGACTTGAAACTAGTGATTGAGACCATAAACTCGGACTTCTTTTTGCAACCAGAGGAGTCGCCCCCTGAGAGACATTAGAAAAAATGCAAGTTTAAGACTTTTCAGAACCGTATTTGGCTGCCTGGTAAGAACTAATTGTTTAGCGTGGTTTGATTGTTTCACATTTTAGGAAACACACTTGCTCTCTTTTTTGCCAAGAGTTAGGTGTGAATATGTCTGTAAGGTAAATCTGGAGTTACAGTCAGCAGCAGTTGGCTTAACTTAGCTGGCCAGCTGTTTGACCTGGATTCTCTGTGCTCTATAAATTTGCATATTTCTCAAAATACTACAAATAAAAAATGTGTCTCTCCCTGAGGGGTTTTAGATTAAGTGGTCTTGACTTTTACCTCAACTAATATGTCACTAGGGATGTCCCCTATATTGGGCTAAATTGGTTTGTTCCATACGTGACCTCCCTTGTCACGTTTTTGACTGCTACTCTACTCTGATCAGCAAACAGCACTCTTACAGATCCTAGAGCTGATACAACAGCAGTAGCCGATCATGTGCTGATGATGTTAAGGGTAAAGTCACCTGTCATCCAATCAAATGCGCCAATTCCTGCTAAAAAATAAAAATAAAAAGAACTGGAAACAGTGTTGGAGACGGGGTCCCCTCATTAATATGAAAGTTGCTCAGTGGCGCATGAAGCCGAAATGGTCCAAGTACCTGCATGTACACAGTAGTCTACTAAATGAAATACTCTTGAAACAGTATTTCACCCATGTACGGTGCCTTGCCTCCTGCATGTTGTGTGCCTGATGCACTTTTCATTGGCCCCTTCTTGCTTTTTCCAAACATCTTTAGAACAGTATTTTCAGTTGTGACATCTGAAATCTCCTTTTATTTGAATTAGTTGTGATTGGTTGAACTTTATTACCCTGCCAATATTTTATAATATTAGCTTCCTCTCTCTTTCATATCCAACTCCTGCTCCTGTACATGCTGTTACTTGCAGATTTGTTATCTGCTCAGCTTGTATTGTACACCATTTAATGGTTTATGGGGACACCGAGTGGCTTTATGGGGAAGGGATAGTACTTCACTGTGTGGACTGTATACACAGCCCCACAAAGGACTTAATGTGCAACGGAAAGATTGGAGATGATGCTGACAGAGTCTGGCTGTGACTTACAGTGTCAGTGGGACAGAAGTGGAGCTCAACTTAAGCAGCACTTCATGCAAAGTCAGTGCTCATACACGAGAATATTTGTAGATGTAGCAAAGAGGTAGGCAATATTCAAGAAGTAGGTCAAGTCTCTCGATGGATAAGAAGCAAACACATCAGCAGGAAGAAGCAATAAGATGTGCTGCTGTGGTACAAGCAGGGAGAGTAGATATATAGAGAAATGCATTTTGTTGGGCGCCAGGGAGTATTGAGGAAAACTTAATAAGGTATTCAATAAGTTGCTGGTGCGCCTCTTTCATTTACTCTCTGAACACTACACACCCAAGAATAATGAGGCCTGTTTACTCTTCTTTGCCCATCCTGACAATCGAAGGGGATATGTCTAAAGATTACCTTCAAGTATGAGATTCAATCTTAACCGCTACAAATGATGTGCAGACTGACCCAAGCTGTTAGAAGCTATCAAACATGACTGATATTGGACTCATGACTCAGTATTTACATGTGACCTGTCTTCTTTTTAACATCCTAAAATGCAGTGCCTTACTTCTTATGATAATAACAGTCATGTCTTTTTAAAGGCAAGAAAATCAAACTTGCACAGTAGGTTTCATAAAATAGAGAAACAGAGATTCGAACTGTTCAAAACAGAATATAAAACCTGAAAAGTATTCATTAATCCTTCTTCTAAAAGAATTAGAGGTTAATGACACTTGTGTCATGCACAAGATAATCTAGGACAAATGCTAGAATGCAAAAGGTAACAATGAGCAGTTTTGTCTATATTCCTTTACAGCTTCAAAACAGATCAAACTCCACCATGACAAATAGATCAGAAGAGGAAGCAAAAGATAATAAATACGGGACTCGGGAGAGGCTAGTCATTTTAAAGCCTTGATTATACTGTTATTAGTCATTTTAAAGCCTTGATTACACTGTTATTAGTCATTTTAAAGCCTTGATTATACTGTTATTAGTCATTTTAAAGCCTTGATTATATGGTTATTAGTCATTTTAATGCCTTGATTATACGGTTATTGGTCATTTTAAAGCCTTGATTATACGGTTATTGGTCATTTTAAAGCCTTGATTATACTGTTATTAGTCATTTTAAAGCCTTGATTATACGGTTATTAGTCATTTTAAAGCCTTGATTATACTGTTATTAGTCATTTTAAAGCCTTGATTATACGGTTATTGGTCATTTTAAAGCCTTGATTATACGGTTATTGGTCATTTTAATGCCTTGATTATACGGTTATTAGTCATTTTAAAGCCTTGATTATACGG